CCGGAGGAAGGGTCACTGGACCCGAAACGTTAACTCTGTTTTCTCCTTCACAGATGCTGCCCCTCCTGCTGAGCTTTTCCAGCAACTTTGTTTTTGTTCATTATCTGGAATGAGATTAGGCTGGATAGATTTTTTTTTGGATAGCACAAACAATGGACTGAATAGCTGCCTTCTGTGCTGTAAATTTCTATGATTTGAAAAGGATTGAGCTAAACTAACGTACTTGTCTTCTCTTCCAAAGGAGAAGCAACACTACTTGGGGGTGAACTACTTGAAGGAAGGGCCCGAGGGGAACGATATCCGGAAGACTAATGTGGCTCAGATCCGGATGGCTTTTCGGTACGAGACACTGTGCAATGAGCTGTCTTTCCTGGTGGATGCCGTGAAGTCAACAGAGATGAGCCGGTCAATAAATTAGCAGTCTGGCTCATGCATTTGTAGGAACATGAAAGGTGATCAATTATGCACCTCATGAGCCTGTTACACTGCTTCTAAATGCACTTAGATACCAGGCTGGTTCATAACCAGAAAAGCACAACAGCCATTGTGATTAAATCCTTACCAGCCAATATGAGATAATGTTATGCATTACATCATACTATTTAATGCTGTTTGCCTCATGCTTGATTATATTTTAACAAAAGATTTTTTAAAAGAAATAGATAATCCTAGTGCAGACACCACTGAATATATATATAGAATATGTATAATAGCCTTAGTATGTAAAGTGTACAGTACACTGTTTAAATTTAGCCTGGAAAGCTTCTATTTGTATAGTCAAATAGGTTTAAAATACTAATCCAGCCAGGGCATGTTCCTCTGTTTATAAGTTACTTTGCATTAGCACCATTGGTGTTAATTTCTAAACTGTTACATTTTTAAAAAACATGTCTATTCTATGGACATTGTACCTACTTGAATGTAAATGTAATACACTGATTCAAATTTTATTGAATAAAACCATTAAACAGAAGAGGTGGAAGTTCTTACCAAGATTCTGTTGGGCAAAATGGCCTTTGTTTGATTGTTGATGCATTTATGGAAGTGTTTAATTAATTAGTTTATCCACATGTACAAAATTGGCTAGACCATGAGGACTCTTCAAACTATTAAGTTATTAGATGCAGCTCAGCAGGCAATACACTTACAATTAAACGTCATGAGCACCAAACCACCAGGTCATCTCTGATTAAAGACAAACAATTTATACACAGCATGGTCCCTCAAACAGCAATTTGTGTAAACACAGAACTCAAGTGTTGGTCATTCAGCCTTCAAGCCTGCTTTGTCATTCAGTAAGGTCATGGGTGGTCTGAACTCCATTTTCTTATCTGTCCCCCATAACTTTGACTCCCTTATCTAGCCTTTTAGTGATATTAGTTGAAAAATAAAGCTGGCTCCCCAGCTTTCCTTGCAAGTAACGCCGGTGAAACATTTTGCATCCTCCTGAGAGGACAGCAAGTATTTCTATTTGATATTTCATCTGAAAGAAAACATCTCTAAGAGTCCAGCACATTGTCAGGACTGCAGTAGAGCGTCACCCTGGATTTTGTGCTCAAGTCCTGGAATGGCAGTGAACCCACAATCTTCTGACCTCTGAGGCAGGTATGATTCTTTGTTCTCCGCTAATGACAAGGGGAGGCAATGATGTAGCAGTATTGTTGCTGTACGAGTAATCCACAGACCAGGCAATGCTCTGTATACCCAGTTTCAAAACCCACCACACTATGGAATCAAAAGTCTAAGGATGATCATGAAACCATTGTTGATGGTCATTAAACTCCCACCTGGTTTACCAATGCCATTTGGGGAAGAAAATCTGCAATCCTTGTCTGGTCTACATGTGACACCAGATCAACACCAATGTGAATGTGTTAACTGTCCACCGAAATGTCCCACATAGCAAGTCACTGTTATATTAAACCACTAAAAAGTCATAAAAGATATGAAACTGGTCAGACCAATTGGCATCGAACAATGGCAAACTCAGCCATGCCATCCCTGCAAGTCTTCCTTACTAATATTGGGAGGGTAGTGCCAAAATTGAGAGACCTATCTCCATAGACTAGTCAAGCAACAGCCAGACAAGTCATGGGCATGGAATTATCTCGTACACCACCAGGAAAGTTATTCATGCAGTGTTATACAGCCAACGGGGAGTTGCGCTGGAAGCCTTCAGCATGGACTCCAGATCCTATGAAGTCTCATGGAATTAAGTAAAACAGGGCAAGGGAACGTGCTGATGGTTACCATACTCTACTTCCCCTCAGCTGATAAATCAGTACCCCATCATGGTAAACATGACTTGGAATGAGCATTGAGGGCAGCAAGGGTGCAGAATTTGTGTACAAAAATGAGGTGTCAACTTGGTGAAGCTACAACACATTTCTGCTCCTATGTCTTATTACTACTTACATGTCAAGCACCATAAACAGTAAATAACAGACAGAGCTTTGAACTGGACTAACTACATCAATGCTGTAATTTTAAGAGCAGATCAGAAGACAAGAATCCTGCAACAAGTAACAACTCCTGTGTTCCCAAAGCCATCATCTAGAAAGCATAAGTCAAGAGTATGATGGAACACTCTCCGTTTGCCTGCAGCTTCAGCTATACTCAAGCAACTCAAAACCGTATGTGACACAGTGCTTTATGATTGGCAGCACATCCAGGCCCTCCACTACTGACGATCAGTAGCAGCAGTGTACTATCCATAAATGCACTGCAGAAATTCACCCAAGTTTCCTTAGATACGAACACTACAGTAGATATGTGGAAACATCACCAAGTGCAATTCTTCTCTAAGCTAGGCACCGTCCTGGAAATATACGACCATTCCTTCACTGTCAAATTCCTGGAGCTGTGTCTCTAAAACATTGTAAGTGGATCTATACTAAATGGATTTTAGTGGTTCAAGATGACAGCTTACTACTATCTTCTCCATGACAATTAGGGATGGGCAATAAATGCTTGTCTAGCCAGAGAATTCCACATCCTTGAATGTGTTTTTTTAAAAAAGCACTGACTCTGAGTAAGATGTTTAGGCATTCTCCAAAGCTGCAAACTTAACATTAACATTGCACTGTTGTACCTGTTCTTCCAGCAGAATCAAGAAATACATGATTTCAGCAGACACAGAAGAAACTGATGGCTGGGTGCCTCTCGGTCTTCTTTCCATTTCAAACATTTGTAGCTATAACAAAGAAGACTTCTTTTGAGAGACACTTTCTCATATTTCAATAAACTTGCAGAAGATGCATGCGCCAAACTATCAACAACACTGTGGGAAATAAGCCACAAATTGGCACCAAAGACTTTGCAAGTGCCCACCTCAGAAAGGTGGCTGAAATTTCAAATTCCTGGCATACATTGGAATATACGACTGTAGGGCTAAGGTAGTTGGAGATGACACAGGATCGTTCTCCAATCTGTAGGCAAACTGTGTACAACAGTACACTTGGACAGAAGGGCTGATAATTGACCACTCCTGAAGAATGAAGAATGAAGCAGCAGAAAATAGTTTTTTTTTTCCATTCACCATAAACGTGCCTATTAATAACTTGAAAACTTTGACCGAATCTCCATAAACCCCCTAAAATTCCAGGGAACACGTTGTGGTCAGATGTGCAGATGTGGTCAAAACAGAGATTTGTAAGTGATGGATATTGAGTGTAGCATGCTTAATAGAAGCAGATGATTTTGGACTTGTTGATAAAAAAGTTCTTGAACGACTGAGGATTTTCCTTACTTCCCATCTGGTTCTATCATCGACGAACTGATAAAGATTGATTGTTGTCATTAGTTAATAATTCCATTATCGTTGGATAATGCATCTACCAAGCTGGTACAAGATAAATTTTGGTCCCTTTATTGTCCAGCAATTCCTTTGTTTAAAAAATACCAGAATGCCCTGTCTCTAGCACCCCAAACAACCACAATGCCTTCAAATCCCTTTTAAATCCCAATACTAGTGTTTGATTGTTATAAATACATACAAGTTAGAAAATTCAACATTCATTCTGATCTCCTTATGTAGCTAAGGATAATAGGCAAGATCATAAATGGTAACTGTCATTAATGGTGAGAATAGGTTTTTTATTAATTATAACCCTACAGTGGCAAGTCTTTTTCCCTTGCCCACCATCAACAATCACAGCTAAACAGACATAAACACAACAGTCCTGGTTCAGGAATTATTCATAAGGTGCAAGTCTTGGGTTTACTCATTTGTACCAACACAGTGTCATCGTTTGCTAAGATCAGTAGAACGATAAACTGAACATTACTTCAGAAACAGGTAATAATTATGTTAATAAACGAATGCTTTATTACATTAAATTGAACAATTAATGCTAATTGGAAAAAAAATCACCAATGAAATCAAGACCTTTTCAGTGCTTTCCTACACGGAACTGTTATGATTTCTTCCTGCAAAACAAGGGAAATTATTGCACTTCTACTCATTGACAAACAGCTGAGATAATCAAAAGCAATTGCTTAATACTTAATAGTCATAAACCTCACCTGTGTAAAATTACAGTATTATTAATACAGGCTACTATCACCACCTTCAAATTCCATCTGCTTAACATGGAGTCTTGTTAAGGTCATAAAAATTTTCATGAATTTAAGTTCCAGTTCTATTTCCAATTGAAGATATTTCTAAATGAATCATTGAGAATGAGAAGACTGCACAAATAAGGAGACACACTGATTGACAAAACTCCAAATGAATGAAAAACCCCTTTCAGGCATGCAAAAATTGAAGCGTATCACTCTTTGTGTTTAATTGCTACAATCCATTGGCAGTATAATTTTAAACTGTACTTTTTATAGTGGAATCATGAAGTGAGGAGTTGCACTGATTTACTGGAATCAAAATGCCATCAACATTACATAAATAAGGAGCTAAAAACAGTGATGATAATAATAAATCATATAGGCACAGCAAAACATCTTGATATTTCACATTTACACCAGCTTAGTAACACAGGAACTCACTCCAACAGTGTTTACTATTTCATTTTGCTCAATACAGAAAATGAGTCATATTCATGGAGATCTCAATAAATATGGGTTTGATATTCTGCTCTCAGCCTAGTTATGAGAATTGAAATATTCCCTTTCTCTTAAAAATGAAAGGAAGTTTTTTTGCAATGGGGGAATAAAGAGGAACTCCTAACATAAAGAAGGAATCTTTTAAATGGATTAACTGATTATGGAGGGATGGGGAGACAGCAAAAATGAATGCAAATACAGATGTGTTCAATCATTTGGGCTGATCTAGCAGATTATTTAAAACTGTTTGAACATTTGTGTTTTTGTTTTCATTTAATAGTTGCCCACATGCATAAGCTTAAAGGGGAGAGACATTCTTTTGTAGCAAAGTGAAATTTAATACATGTTGAATAATTATTTTTAGTAGCTTTTCTCATTGCAAATACAAGCTGGTTTCAAGTTTTACAGAACGTGACCTTGAAGTGTCCTCAAATTCCAAACTTAAATAGGCTATATTTTACAAGTTATAGTTTATCCTCTGTCAATCTCATTAAAGCTGTGTTCTCACTCTTCATTGATTACTATTTGCAAAATACAAATTTATTTGACAATCTACAATGAAAATCTAGCAGCATCCTACCAAAAGGCACAATTTAATCACCAGCTTACCTTCTACGATGATCACATTTTTTTCAAGCTATTATGTGCATAAAGCAAGTGTTTTAAGTCTCACCAACAAATCAATAAAGTACAATTAAGAAATAATATCCCTAAACCTCTCTGGGTTAGATAACCAAAATTCCAATGTGGCGAACAATGCAGCTCAGGCACAGATACTGGGTTATAAGTTCTGCTTTAAAAGGCAAACACTGTTTTTCAATTCACACGAAGTCTCACAAGCAGTCACTCAGTGTTTGCACTTAGAGCATAATGCTGTAATAGCTATGGAGTATATTGTAGGCAAGAACATAATGCAAACTTGACAGGGCATCAATTTGTGCACGGGTAAGAACACAAATAAGAATTTCAATTGGGCTTCAGTCTGCTTCAATTCATGATCGATCAGCAAGGACAAAATCAAAGTAATCCAATGTACAGTGGCCTCATTGATCTTAAAATATGTTTTAAAAAGTGTTTATTTTGTAAAAGGCCAGATTTAAACTGTCTGCTGCAGTCTGAAGGTATAACACCCTTGGTAATTCTTAGGGTTTATGGGGCTGTCCAGCCTCGTCTGCCACTTTGAGAATATAATTTGCTATGTCTTCTTCAGTAGGTGCATCAGACACAACCCAAGAATCGCCAGCTTCCTTCACTTGTAACCGACAAATAGGACAATTCCTGTTGTGGTCGCTCCTGCCACAAAGAAATGAAACAAACTTTCAGATTGGGCATTTAAGGGTAAGATTTTCATTTACTTAGTCAGCATGTTAAACTCTAATCTGTTTTCCTCCTGCAATTCTCAACATCCACCAAATCCTGTTCATCCATCATACCTATGCTCACTGACCTATACTAAAACCTAGTCCATCAACAACATAATTCGAAAACACCTTGTGATCAAGACCATCTGTGGCCTCATTCTTCTCCACCTCTCCGAGCTCCTATAATCCTATAACCATTCAAAGAAGTGCAGAGAGTTTTCTAATTCAGGTCTCTCATGCATACTAGTTTCATTTGCTCCTCCAATGCCAGTCCTGCTTGGGCCTGGAGATATGGAATTTCCTTTGGTGTCACTTATTTCTTGTTTGCATTTGTAATGGAGGAGAGTAAGGGACAATCTAAAATAGAACTTCTACATTGGATGAGGCTTAGCTTCAATGGGTTAAGAGGGGATCTAGCCCAGATAAAGTGCAATCAGAAACTAATAGGAAAAACTAACAGAACAATGCGTTATCTTTAAGGAAGAGACTCAGTACATTCAAACAGATGTGATATATAGGGGAACTAAAACTAAGACAAAGAGATTATGATGATACCAAAAAGGTATATGATGTATTTCAGGTGAATTTTTCAATCAAGAACTTGTTTAAAACACAGTTTACACAGGAGTGGTGGGGGAGTGAAGAGGAAAATAAGACTTGTAAAGTTAGAATGAAAACAAAATGACAGATAATACAAACGGAAACACAAGAAAATTCTTTCAGCATGTAAAAAGTGGTAGTAGAAGGTAGGGTGAGGTCTATTAGGGATAAAGATTCTAGATACGATACACTTTTTCAAATACAAAACAGCTAGAATGAGTACTTTATGGCAATTCTCACTAAGGAAGAGGGTACTGACAAAATATTGCTATAATTGATCATTAGAATATATTGAAACAACAAAGCTTGGGGTACATAAATTGTCCTGTGTCGACGGTTCACCTCCCAGGTTGTGAACGGAAGTGAGAATGTCCATACAGGAGGGGTCTTCAAGCATTCCCTTGGTACAAGAGCATAGTCAGAGGACTGGAAAACAGCAAATGTGACACCATTCTTTAAAAGGAGGATGTAGGGACATTGCTAAAAACTACAAGCTGGGCTGTCTTACATCACTGGTAGGTAAGAGTTTAGAACAAATAATCAAAGAAAAATTGGTAGGTAGTTGGAGAGGTTTGAGTTCAATTGGGAAATAAACCTCAGAGAAACTGGGGGGTACATATGCAAAGATCTTTGGTGGTAGTAGGACATGTTAAGAATAAGTTAGCAAAACATTTGGGATCTTAGGCTTCATAAAGGCATTAAGCATAATAGCGCAGAAGAAATGCTGAATCTTTATGCAACTCTGGCGAGACCACAACTAAAGTATTAAATCTAGTTCTGCTCATCATAATTTAGGAAACTATTGAGATCCTCAAGAGGGTGCAGAGAATATTTATCTGAAAAGTTCCATGAATGAGGAATTTTAGATACAATGTTATGTTAGACAAGTTCAGTCATTCTCTTTGGAGCAAAGGAGGTTTGAACTGAGATTTGATAGAGGTATACCAGATTATAACAGGTTTAGAAAAAGTAGCCCAAAAAAAAGTATCCCTATGAGCTGACAGTACAAGTTCTGGAGGGGGTTGGAGCTCCTGTGATGCTGTGGTATCATCCCTACTCCTGAGCCAGGAACTCCGGATTCAAGTCCCATTTCAGGATTTGATTGCTGTAGAAAATGCACTTATAATGTGGCCAAACAGGTTGAGTATTGCTTGCAAATCTTTCTAATACAGCTGATACCTAGGCAGTAAAAGCAGAATGTTTTCCTGCTCAGACATACTGCACTGATAATGGCAAAACACTGCCTTTGCCAAGCATAATCATGGATCAATCCAATGGAAACCCATAGTTGTCAATGCCTTCTTTGGATACAATACAATACAATACAAGACAGGGAGGGACAAGGTCTCAGAAACACAGATTCAAGGCTTTGTTATAGCGGGAATGTGATGAAAAAGTTACCGTATGCAGCAAGTAGTAATGACCTGGAGTGCACTGCCTAGGAAGCGGAGGGAGTCAATGATCTTAAAAGGTATTTGGGACACTTGAGGGAAATAAACACAGGTCTACAGGGAAAGTATGGTGGAGTGGGACTAACTGTATTTCTCTATAGAGAACCAGCATGGACTCCCAAGGGGTAAATGGCTTCGTTCTGGACCTGTAATGGCTGTAAGACTGTTCATAATATGCCCCTCTTTAGCTAAGCATTTAGTCACCTGACCTCACTGCCATGAGCGCAGTTTCAATTCTTGTCTGATTATAGATCTGTGAAAGGCACTGGGAAATTTTGCTGTGTTAAAGGTGCTAAATAAATGCAAGTTGCAGCTGAATCATGTGCCCTAATTATTGTCACAAACTGATATAAGAGCTGCCAAGAGGCTGGAAGTAACGGAGAGATGAAAGTAACAATCTCAAAGTAAATTCACAAGAGAAATACATCTGAAACAAGCAGCTGCCACCCACTCAGTCTGACCATGGAGATGAACAGCTGTTTGTGGCAATATGAAGGGCCACTGGAAGCTGTGACCTGTGATTGCAGGGGCTGGACAGAGAACTGATTCTAACTTCCTATGATTAAATTCTATCCTTCTATGTAAACAAGCACCACCAGAAGGGACGGAGGAAACTACAAGCAGTTTTAGTGAGGATATTAATGATTATTTACACCGCATCCAAGAAAGGCTGAGTGATCTCCTCCTGTGCAAAATTTTCAATGTTTCTAATTTAGTCGGATGTACATTGTATCAGATTTAGCATTTAGGTGTAAAGGAGGATATTTCCACAATTAGCATTTGCTCAATCCTTCTATTCATTCATCTATACATCAAAATATTAGAATACTTTACTGGCAAAACTTTAAATAATTAACAACTCCAAAAGTCAATTCATTTAATTGCTCAAAAGTGAGATTACATCAATGACAAGTAATTGGACATTGTCAAATGTACAGGAAAGGACTGAGATTTTCTTTCAATATACAAAATGCTAGAAGGGTTAAGGCAAAATCCTGGAATTCCCTACTTAACAACATCACACCACAAGACTGTAGTGGTTCAAGAAGGTGACTTGTGGGTTCCAGCTCTTTGCTAGAGCAATCCCAAATTCACTTTGCCGTGTTTCACTAGATTATTTAATCCATTTTCTCACTTTTGACAGCTCACTACAAATGGAGGGTCAATAGACTTACCACTTATCAATGCATTTCTGACAGAAACTATGGGTGCAGGGCAGAATGAGGTCAGCTCGACCATCCATACAGATACAACATTCTTCTTCGTCAGTCATCTCTTTAATCCTACAGAAGAGAGAAAACAGCTTTTGAGTTACATTTCATCAAGCACAAACTTCACATAGATAGCCTAAATCTTTTGTTGTTTTGATCTGCGAATGTTGTCCCTATTCTCTAAGCTCAGAGTTGACCAAATAACAGCATGTGGGTGCCACACACTCTCAAAGCAAACATGCTTCCACTCCATTTGACTCTACATTTACTACTTGCTCCCCTGCGTGCTTGAATTTGGTGGATCTGCATGTTTGCAAACTGTCCCCCAGTGGGTTCACAATATTTTGTTGAAGTTTGCTGAGGTAACAATTAACATACTGTACTCACTACTCAGTTTAGCACAACACCAGATTTAGGAGTCATAGATACAAGATAATCACTAATAAATCCAATCAGGAATTCAGGAGAAACCTTTTGAATCAGAATGTATTGAAAATGTGTAACTCTACTTCAGGGACTGGTTGAGGGGAATACCGTAAATATATTCGTGGGGAGGCTCGATAACCACAAGTCATAGAGTCATACAGCGAGGAAATAGACCCTTCGGTCCAACTAGTCCATGTCCCCAAACTACTCACTTGCCTGCAATTAGCCCATATCCCTCCAAACAGAAACAGAAAAATGCACCAATAATGGTGGGTGAGGGTTAACTATAAACATTAGCATGGATCAGTGGGGCCAAATGACCCACTTTTGTGCTGTACATTCCAAATCAATGAACAGCTTATTATCAGTTAACTGTGATAGTTACAATGTGTGATTTTCCATGGGTTGGCTGGGTATTTGCAGCTTTCTCTTGCAGTTGTTTATCAGATCCCATGATAGTACTATTTTTAACTGCAGATTATGCCACTGAATTGGTAAGCTTCTTTAAGCTTCAGATATCACTGGTGCTTTCAGCAAGTCACCCTATGTTCTACCACGTGCTTAACTTCTCAGCAATCTTTTACAGCAAATAAGCATTTGGTTTCAATTTTGTATGCGTCTTTATTTCTTCACAGGTTTATTATGTAGATTATGTTCTGCATTACTTATAAACAACATCCATGAAGCAAAAGAACACCCAGAATATCTATGGTGCAAAAAGGGGTTGCTCAAATTACTGTTTATGAAAGAATATTATTTGAAGAGAAAAGTTTTTAATTCTGAAGGATAATGTATTCCACATAACATAAATACATACTGCATGACCAATATTGCACAATGTATAAATGTATTTAACAGATAAATTAAAGGACCAATATATTAAATTGAAATTACTATTCTTCTGAAAATCTCGAATAACGAACTATATTCATTCCAGATTTCATCAGATAAGGTTCACACCAGACATTAACTGAACTACAGAATAAATATTCAGAAAAGGGCAAATGATGTAAATGAAGTCTATCCATTCTAAGACAGTACCTGCAACAGACCAGACAGTATCCAGGTGGGGAAATACCCTCAAGAGGCAGGAATATGCCTATTGCCACACGAAGGAGATCAGAATGTATACAAATATTGTTAAGTATTCTGGTAAACTGATGAAAACAAAGCTGGGGCGGGAGCAATTCTATAGGCATATAATGGATGACAGGGAGAAAAGGTCAAGTTACAACCAAACATTGCTAAGGTGGAGTTGCAAAATCAATAAAACTTGATTGCTGACAATTTCAAGCCATTGTGAGATAGAGGGAGATATCACTCAAGCAATTGCTACTGATCACAGCCTACTCCCAATTAAAGAATCTATTGCTGTTCCCTTATTCTCTTTTCCCCCACAGGCAAACCCTTGTTTACAGCACTGTTCTCTGTAGCCAGTACCACTGTCTCAGTCAGCACTGTGGAGAATTGAATGCTTAATACACAAAGTCCCAAAGGCCATTTAAGCATAGACAAGTTACTGTGGCATGCTAGACTTAGTTACATCTCCTTCTGTAAGGAATATCTCTCATAAACTGAGTAACCTTGTGTAATGCTTCTAACACCATCTTGTGGTCAGAAAAGCCCTGCACACACATTTATCTCAATGCAAGGTACTGACTACAGTGTTGTTACACAAATATCAATATTGAACAAATAATAACAATGTCTCCTTAACATCATCAATAAGCTAAATGGACATGTAAATATTTGTCTCATGTTACTAGATTTTATTCTAGTACTCCCAGCAGGTATGGAACTTGCAGTTTCAATAATTTAGCGATGTCGTTTGCATGTGTTCCATTAAAAGGGCTTACTTTTACAGGGTCTACCAAAAGCAATTCAAAAAAAGTAGAAGGCCCAACATTTAATTTTTCATTTTTAACAAAAACACAGACTTTCCACAAACCAACTAATCAGAAGAATTTCAGCAATTGCTATATCGTTACTTGTTTTCTCTAGCGAAGAAGAGCACAACTAGAGGCTATCAATGTGAGATGATCACCCATAAATCAGGAATTCAAAGGAAACTTCCCCCAAAGACTGTGAAGAATGTGGAATCCATTACTCTATAGACTGGCTGAAGCAAATAGTATTGACTCATTTTGGTGAAAATTAGATGGAAGAGTTTGAGAGTGAGGAATTTGGATCAGAAACAACTGCGCTAAACTTAAATACAGGCAATTGCATGAGAATGAAGGGAAAATTGGCTGGAGTGGACTGGGAGAAGACTTTAGCAAAAAGATGGTTAAAGGACAATGGCAGATGTTTAAAGAAAAAGTCCATAGCTCACAACAAAGATATAACTCGGTAAGGAATAAGGATTCTAAGAAGGGGATAAAATGGTTAACCAGGGAAGTTAAGGACAGTACCAAATTGAAATAAAAAGACATACAATGTGGTAAAGATTAATGGTAAATCAGGGGATTGGATTAAGGTTTAAAAGCTAACAAAAGATAACAAAAAAAAGGAGAGAATGAACTAGGAGAGCAAACTAGCAGGTAAAATAAATATAGACCCTAAGAGTGTCTTCAAATATATAAAAAGAGAGAGACAGGCAACAGGGAACATAGGCCCCTTACAGAACAAGTCTAGGGAAATAATAACAGGGAGTTAGGAATGGCAGAAGAGTTAAGCAAATATTTTGCATCAGTTTTCATTATAAAGGATACTGATAGCATTTGAGAAATACTAGACAATCAAGGGGTAGGGTCTGGAAATAAGCACAGTAACAATCACGAGAGAAAAAGTATTGGGGAAACTAACGGGGTTAAAGGCTCATAAGTCCCCTGAACCTAATAGGTTTCACACCCAAGTAAGTAGCTGTAGAGATAGTAGATATACTGGCAGTGACCTTCCAAGAATCATTAGATTCTGGAAAAGTCCAAGAGGATTGAAAAACACACTTATTCAAAAAGGAAAACAAAAATGTAACCATAGGCCAGTTAGCTTAATATCCTTTATTGGGAAAATGTTAGTCAGTTATGCTGTTTTCCAACCTTTTCATCGAGACACATTTCAATGACACAAATAATTCCACTGTACAACCCATTTTTCAGTTAAATTGATTGCTCATAAAATGTCATATTTACTTGCATTTACTATGCCATAGTAGGAAATGGAGACATTCCTGAAGGGGAGGCGATGTGGTGTTATCGCTGGACTGTTAATCCAGAGACCCAGATAACATTCTGGGAACCCAGGTTCGAATCCTGCCATGGCAGGCGGTGGAATTTGAATTCAATTAGTATCTGGAATTAAGGGTCTAATGATGACCATGAAACCATTGTCGACTGTTGGAAAATCCCATCTGGTTCATTAATGTCCATTAGGGAAGGAAACTGTCATCCTTACCTGGTCTGGCCTACATATGACTCCAGACCCACAGCAATGTGGTTGACTCTGAACTGCCCTCTGGGCAATTAGGGATTGGTAATAAATCCTCATGTGTAAATGAATAAAGAAAAACAAACTCTGTTGCATGAGGCTCCCCTGCAGCCTCCTCATTCCGCATCTAGCCACCTCACATAAGTATACCCATCTCGCAGACAACATCATGTGGCCCATTCATGGAGAAGAAGCCTGGGTTGCTGGAGAAGAAGCCTGGGTGAGGCGATGAGCCAAACCCCTCTCCTCTGGACAGCTCCAACTAGAGGCCAGCTCTGTGCACTGCAACTCCTGCACTCATCATGTTCTTGGCTCAGCCCCGGTACGGCCCTGATCACCTACAGCAGCAGAAAAAGTGATTTGACTGATTCAGCCTAGCAAATGGCAAAAGGCGAAAGGTGACAGACTCACCGGTCCCACGCACTGTGACATGGCTATTCACCACACAGCTGCTCCACATGCCCCCATGACAGCGGCACCTGGTATCAGCAGATAAAGTGGTGCTGCTTTCTGAAAATTTAACAGCACACTTCTCAACTTGTCACATAAGTTGAAAACCACTGGTCTATTATAAAGGGTGTAGTAGAAGAACATTTAGAAACACATCAAGCAATGATCAAGCAGAATTGTATGGCTTTTGTAATGGAAAAATCATGCTTGACAAATGTATTACAGTTCTTTAGAAATATACCAAGCAGGGTAGCTAAAGGGGAACCAGTAGATGTAATATATTTCGATTTCCAAAAGGCATTTAATGATACTGCACATAAAGCTACTTGATATGGGCCCATGGTGTAGGCGTAGTGTATAGCCATGGATAGAGGTTTGGCTAACTAATGGAACACAGACGATCAGAATAAAGTAGACATTTTCAGAATGGCAACCTGTAATTAGTCAAGTGCCACAGGGATCAGTGCTGAGGCCACAATTATTTACAATATAGATTAATGATTTGGATGTCGGAAGTGAATGTACTATAGTCATGTTTGCAGATGACACAAAACTAGGTGGGAAGTAGTGAGGATGACACTAGGAGGCTAGAGAAGGATATAGACAGGTGAAGAGACTGGGTAAAACTTGGCAGATGGAATACAGTATGGGAAATCCTCAGGTTATGCACTTTGGCAGGAAGAATAGAAAACCTGAATATCATGTAAATGGGGAAAGACTGCAGAAAGCTGCAGCATAGGAGGATGTGGGGTTCCGAGTGCATGAATCACATAAAGCTAGCATCCAAGTTCAGCAGATACTAGGAAAGGCAAATGGAATACAGTATAACAATAGGGAGCTCTTGTCAAAATTATATAAGGCACTAGTCAGAACACACCTGGTATACTGTGAACAGTTTTATCACCTCACCTAAGGAAAGATATACTGATATTGGTGGACTGTGTAGAGAAGGTTCACTAGGTTGATCCTGGTATAGAGGAATTTTCCTACAATGAGAGGTAGGTAGGTTGGGTATGTACTCATTGAAGTTTAGAAGAATGATACGAGACCTTATTGAAACATCCAAGGTTCCTAGGATGCTTGATAGGTTGGATGCAGAGAGGGTCTTTCCCTTTGTGAGAAAGTCTAGGACCAGAGAGCATAATCTCAGAATAAGGAGACAGATAAAAGGAGGAATTTCTTTTCTCCCAGAGGGTGATAAATCTGTGGAATTCTTCACGACAGAGAGCTGTCATGGCTGGATCATGAAGTATATTAAAGGCTGAGATAGATCTTTAATCATTAAGAAAATTAATAGTCACAGAGATAAAGCAGGAAAGTGGAGTTGAGAATCATCAGATCAGCACTGATCTCTTTGCTCTTACGTCATATGGAAGAATGGAATATAGGCTAATGATGATAGATTTAGATTAGTCAAGTTAAGAGGAGGCTTGTGTGAAGCATAAACCCAAGCAGGGACAGGTTGTACTGGTTTCTATGCTGTATATTTCATGCTTCTATATGGATAGGATCACATGATCTAAAGCTGGATAGAAATCATCATAGGACAAATTGTTGAAACACCCATCATTGGAGCTCAAGTTCTTCAGCACTGACAGTATTTTACCATTGACTCTATGTGTGGCATTTTAAAACTGCTGAAAGCCATTATGTGCCCTTGCCTCCAATCCACCTGATCCTTCTCCTGCAACATCTATCCCAGGTTCTCTATTATATCCTCAACCACCTTTGCACCGGGTTCCCTCATTGATCCTGGGCTTCAGTGGATGTATTACCAGTAAGTGCCATGGCTCCTAGTGATGCTAACAACGATAAGGAGTCTTTGATGGGCCAGCAGCTCTCGGTAATTTGGACTTCTGCCACACGAGTCTGGAATGCTGGGGGAGGATGGTAGGTACTCCACTTGATATTGCCTTGTAGCCCACTACCACCCTTCTCATTAAGCAAATAGAAATGTGCAATAAATGCCATTATTTTTCTCCCAGGATTTTTTTTTCAGTAGTTGATGACAGAGAAGATTTCAGCTTGCTGTCATGGAAAGAAAACGTGAAGTAATTTTTAAAGCTAGTAAGAACAAGGTTAATGTGCGATTTTTGAAAGCAGTGCAGAACAGACCAACAAGCCATGAAAAGAATATCACATCTCAGCAGTTTATTAACCTGACTATCAAAGGTTCACTTACTTTCCTAGCCAGAGACTGGCCTGACAGGATGATCCATTTGCAGCTGTCCCTTCACAGATGCTGCTTTGGGTAAGAACCCCACTTGCCTGCATGGTGATCTCTCGATATAGCTGAGTGAACTGGTAGAGATTAAGAATTCTAGAGGCATCAATATTTCCCGTAGTCTTGTTAATCTGCCAAAACATATACCAAATGATTAAATGCAGAAGAATGCATCAGCAGACATGAAAAAAAAAACTTGTATTTATATAATATCTTCAATGTATTGAAATCTCGAGCCTCTTCAAAGGAGCATCCGGAACAAAACCTGACATTGAACCATGTAACGTGACATCAGGGTAAAAAACTGAAAGGTTCATGAAAGAGATAAATTTTCAGGAGTATCTTCCAGGAGACAGAAGTAGATTTGGAGAGGTTTCGGGAAGAAATTTCAGAGCTCAGGACCTCAGAAGCTGAAGGCACAGCCACTGCTGGGGCCAAGGAAGCAGAAGGATGAGCAAGAAGGCAGAATTATAGGAAAGTAGAGACCTTGAGAGAGTTGTCATGCTTGAAGAAGTTACATAGACAGGGAGGGGTGGGGCCATAGAGGGATTTGTACACAAGGGTGAGAAAATTGAAAATTAAAAATTCGCATAAATAAGACATGACTGCACTGTTGCATGTGCCGTCATTCAGATGAGATTTTAAACTGAGGCCCCATATGCCCTCTTAGGTGGCCATAAATGATCTCTCAGGTCTATTTCGAAGTAGAACAGGAGAACTATTCCCAATGTTCTGGAAGCAATGTTCACCTTTCAATCAAATATCATAAAAACAGATTACATGGTCATTATCACATAGCAAGCTCCCACTACAGCAGTGTACATATTAGCTATCAAACTTACTACAACTACAGTAACACTTCAAAAAATTACTGGCTGCAAAGCACTTTGAGACATCCAGTCATTAGAGAGCTGATATATAAACATCTGTTTTTTTTCTTTCCTTCTTTAAGTGGTCTTCCTTCAAACATAAACAAGTTGATTGTATTGTTTTTTGGATTTTAGTTTGCTCTTGCACTTATTTAGCATTTTATTCAAACTTTGCTAAGTACTAAATTGCTTCACAACCAATTATATACTTTAGAACTGTTGTCACTGATGTTCTGCAGACTAACATGATTGCTATTTGCACATACAGAAATAATAAATGAGATAAATATCTGATTACTGTTTCTTCTGGTAGCATTAGTTAAGGACAAAATATTGGTCAGAATGTGTAAAGATTGCCCCATTTTTTTCTTTTAACCATGAACAGGCAGATAAAGTCTTGTTTTAACATTTTATCTGAGAGAAGATGCACTGCACTATAAGTGTCAGGAGATTATGTGCTTCAGCTATAGAGTGGGGTTTGAATGTGTGCCTTTCTAGAAGTAGTATTCACCGAGTTAAACCATAAAGTCATGGGAATTCAATTATTTTTCTCTTGTAAAATGCTTTGCAAGGGACTTGGATTCAATTGCAGGCTTGGGTGTTGTCTGTCTGTGTGGAGTTTGCGCATTCTCCCTTCATCTGTGTGGCTTTCTGCCTGGTGCTCCAGTTCCCTCGCACAGTCTTAAGATGCGCATGTTAGGTGGATTGGCCACAGTAAACTGTCCCATAGTGTCCAGGGATGTGTAGGCTAGGTGGATTAGCCATGGTAAATGTGGGGTTATGGGGATAGGGTGGGGGTCTGGATCTGGGTGGGATGTTCTTTGGAGGTTGGTACACACTTGATGGGCTGAAAGGCCTCTTTCCGTACTGTAGGGATTCATGATCTCAACTCTAAATTCTTTCTTAACCAATTTTCCCTACTTTCTAATCTTTGGGCTGTTGGAATATTTTGTTGATTCTTTTGTGAGTCCACTGGCATGGACCTTTCACAATTCTGATGGCATAACATTTTCAGTTCAAACAACTTGAACACTTCTATCCAAGTTCTCCTGGCTTAAAAGCACTTCAGCTGAAGTGACTGGTTTCCCCGAAATAAAAGCTTGATTCTTGTGCTGGAGAAACTGATCTCCTTTCTAAACCAAACTCCTGGCTCTTCTGAATTAAGCTCAAAGCTAGAACTAATAGCTTTCTGGTCTGTTGTAAATTCAGCAGTATAAACATTCCATTTATTAACACTATAGTGTTCCCTCCAGGCACGTGACTGTAGTTGAATGTTGTTTTGGAATTGTACTTGGGTAACTGCTTCAAATGAACTTCTGAATGATTTACAATAAGCGAGCTCACAGAACTAATTCAAAATAGTATGGTAGATATACACAAGATATACTTTTTATCACAACATCTGAATTAGATCACACCTTAAACTTCTATAATCAAGGGAATACATGCCTAGTCTTCAGGACCTGTGATCATAATTTAACTCTTTTTAAATTTTTAAGGGGCACACTATATGTCAATAAATGCAAGGGTCTTCTGTCTTTACCTGCCCGAATGGCACAGTGAAGTCTAAAAATCTGTTCTGCATTGAATATGAATAAAGTGAAACAAAGGGAGAACTTAACGTCTCTGCTAGAAGGGAGAAGGAAGCGTTTCAGTTTGGTTTGCTAGTAGCATACTTTAGAGTTTCCTCAAAATATTAAAATCAGGAACAAATTTTTTTTTAATGTTTCCTTCAATTAACAAAGCAATATATTTAGGTCAGTCAGACACAAACTGCACAATTTGACTATATAAATCATGATTTCTAAGAATAACTTACAACTCCAATTCTTAGCTTGCACCACCCGTTCTTCTAGCAATAGTCCAAAATTGAAGGAACAGATAAGGCAGGAACAAAGGAGCACTGACTGAAGGCTAACAGAAGCAGTTTTACCATTACCATGACACAACAATGGTAAAAGTTTAATGCATGAATGTTCAAATTCAGTAATCAAGGCAATTAGTGAACAGGATATTAATGACAAAGTGAATTGCTTGAAACCGCACGTTTCACTGCCTGCATTACATAATTGAATGCTCCAGCACAGAAAAAAGCTGAGACACCCATCAGGCCTATGCTAGTGTTTCGTCCTTCCCCAAGAGTCACCTACAATAATCCCTCATAGTCTCTTTGTCAAAGAACTGTTAATTTCCTTTAAAAGAACTTGTGGGCTCTGCTTCAACAACAGTTTCTGGTAGAGAATTCCACATCACTACGTATGCAAAGAAATAATTTGATAACGTTCCCTTTTACTTGAATACAGTTTAGAGATTCTTAAAACTGCTCTTTTTACAATGTTTACTATGCTGCAGCTATTCAGATACAGCTCACCAATGAAAAAAGTGAAACACTGGGGCCGAAGATTTATCAATAGCATCCGATAGAATGATAGAAGGAATTTAGTTCCATTTGATAGCAGTCTCATCTGAGACACTATCCAGTGGGTTCTGCCTCACTCCAGGTCACAAGAATGGAGCTCAGAAATATGGGAGTATTGCATTAAGATTTGTCCATTGCTCTGACAAAATACCCAGTGGATTATTGCTCTTGCAATAATTGCAAGAATATATTTGGTTGAAAGTTGCCTAAGGCTGGAATCTGACTGTTGAAGAGCATTTCAGAATGACAAGCTACAAAAAGGTGGAGGGGTAATTCTGCTAAAGGATGGCATTAGTTCAATACTAAGATTACCTCAGTTTGAAAGATCAGATCCAGCTCAGGTAGAGATAGGAAATAGTAAAGATAAGGGGCAATTTGTGGGAGTATGATTTAGACCCCTGAAAATATTTGGTAACAGGGCAGAAAAGAAGGTACAAATATAAGAAGCACATAAGAAATGTGTCTTAAAAATCACAGGTGACTTTAATCCACAAGTAGATCGGGAGAACTGAACAGTGTATTTCTTAGAGCGGTACATTCCAGAGCCAACAGCAGAATGGGCTATCCTAGACCTGGTAATATGCAATGAAATGCAATTAATCAATAACCTTATAGTATAGGAACATTACAAAGGTAGTGACAACATGTTAGATTACACGTTCAGTTTGAAAGGGAGAATTGTGAGAACATGCCTAGTGTTATAAACCTAAATAAACTTGCTTCTGCATTTGGTTAAACAAAGTTATTAGTTGAGAAGAACTTTGTGTAATGCATGGTAGAAATGCAAACTTGCTCATTCATAGATCATAGATCATAGAATCCCTACAGCGTGGAAACAGGCCCTTCAGCCCAACAAGTCCACACCGACCCTTGGAGCATCCCACCCAGATCCATTCCCCTATAACCCACCTGAGCTACACATCCCTGAACACTATGGGCAATTTAGCATGGCCAATCCACCTAACCTGCACATCTTTAGACTGTGGGATGAAACTGGAATACCCGGGAGGAAATCCATGCAGACACAGGGAGAATGTGCAAACCCCACACAGACAGTCGCCCGAGGGTGGAATCGAACCTAGGTCCCTGGCGCTGTGAGGCAGCAGTGCTAACCATTGAGCCACCGTGCCGCCCAAGAAGAGCTTTGGAGAGTTCTAACACCTCACTGGCATGCTCTCACTTTACCTTGCACTCGTCAGCAGCAGACGAATCTCTAAATCAATTTTTCCAACAACAGCATTTGATAAAGGCAGACATCAAAAATCTTTACACCACTTTTATATTAATAGAACTATTGACAGCCAACTTAAAAGACAAATTTTATACATGCCTATTATAAATATGTACAGATATACATTTTGTTTCATTTGTATTGGAATAGTTCAACATTTTAATTGTTTTTGAATTATATAATTACTTTCTTCATACCTTTGAGCTAACAATCCTAACGATGACTTTCCAAAGGGCAGAGGAATCAGATCCAGGTTGTACTTCGAACAATAAGCATTTCTCTTGCCCAGCTGTCAGTCTTTCAGTGCTACAATGAGTGAAAAAAACAGAATATTAACATTTGTCTGTAGTACAAGACTCAGTGCAGATAGCGTGAAACATTGAATGGAAATGAGCAATTATCCATTCAGCAAATAATTTCCAAGTTTTTATTATAAGATTGTTCATCATCAGGTTTGATAAGTTATTTTTTCCTCCTGTCCTTTTATAATAGTGGTGTGATGGGTGCCCACGCCCTAGGGTGTTTTGCCCAAATGGCCATTCTTCACTCATTAGCCTAACCAACAAGTGTCAGGGGAGGGCATCACAGGAAAGAACACACTTCCAGCTGAGCACTGATCAACTGTGGAAAGACCTTAGTATGGAGTGATCAAAGTTTGCAAAGACAAAACTAAAGGCGACTGCCATTAGCTCCAGCTTGCCTTTTAGCTTTAACACGCTTAATTTTTTCAAAGAATAGAGCAGTCAAAGTGCTATTGTCTTGCTTGGAACAATTGTAAAGAACTCCAAATGTTAAACAAGCACACATTTCAGCATGAAAAAGCAGACCATGGCAATGCTGAACAAAAACAGAAGTTGCTGGAAAAGATCAGCAGGCCTGGCAGCACCTGTGAAGAAAAGTCAGAGTTAACGTTTCGGATCTAGTGACCCTTCCTCAGAACTGATGATAGCTAGGGAAATGTCGACACAGATGCTACCAGACCTGCTGAGCTTTTCCAGGAACTTCTGTTTTTGTTCCTGATTTACAGCATCCGCAGTTCTTTCGGTTTTTACATGGCAATACTGAATCTATTCATGATAAGAGCTGTCACATGTTCTGACGTCAGGTTAGTGGCAATCCTATGATCATCAAATTACAGAATTTTTTGAATATGAGCTTCTACACTCAATACATGAACTGCAGAATCATGAGGAATGACTGCAAACGAAAGAAGCTGTCAATGCTTCTGGTGCCCAACAGATGTTCAAATGAAAATTACCTTGGAATCATTTGCAAAGACAACTGTCAAAACCAATTGTACAGCATCTTTAATAGATAAAGAAAATAATCTCAAAAGTAGTTTTTAGAAGGGTGATCAGATAGAAATGGACATTGGAACAAGGTGCGAGATATTAGATTGGGTGACTAAAAGTTAAAGTTTGGTAGCAGCAAACATAGTAGTGTAGAATTTCACATCCAGTTTGAAAGGGAAAGACTGAGTCCAAGACTAGCATTTAAACTTAAATAAGGGAGCTATGTGGGTATGAAAGCAGAGTTAGTTGAAGTGACCTGGCACACTAGGCTGAGGGATGCAGCAATAGAGAGGTAGTCACAGAAATTTTACAGGGATATTTCAGAATACTCAAAATAGGTATATTCATACTTTTAAAGAAAAATTCTAAAGGGTGAACCCAACATCCATGGAAATTAAAATTAGGGAAAACCATCAAATGTAAGGAAGAAAACACATAACTGCACAACAATGAGTGGCAGTTTATATGATTAGTCAGAATTTACAGAATGGCAGTTTATACGATTAGTCAGAATTTAAAGAATGGCAGGGAATGATAAAAAATTAATCAGGAGAAAGAAATAACTGTGTGAGGGGAAGCTGGCTAGAAATAAAAACAGACAGTAAGAAGTACTTAAAGTGAGTACTATCACATTCAGAGTGAGAATGGGCATTAATAGTACATGCTTTTGTTCACTCACAGGATATGTGCATCATCAGCCAGGCCAGGATTTATTGCCCAGAGGGCAATTAAGAGTCAACCATAACGTTGGGATCTGGAGTCAGAGGCCACGCCAGGCCAGGCAAGATTGGCAGCTTCCTTCCCTAAAGGACACTGGTGAAATAGATGGGGTTTTCCCAAAAACTGTAGACTCTTGATTCCAGATTTTTTATTCAATTCCAAGTCCACAATCTGCCATGGCAAGATTTGAACCTAGGTCTCCAGAACGTGACCTGGGTCCTTGGATTACCATTCTAGCGACAATACCACTAGTGGTGGATGAAATGAACGAAACATTTTGCTTCCATCTTCTCTATAGAGGATATACAAAAATATGTGAAAAGGACAGGATCTTATTGAAATTACAATCACTAGGGAAACTGTACTGAGCAAACTAATGAGGACGCAGGGTGACAAGTCTCCAGACCCAAATGGACTTCATCCTCAGGCAGGACATCCCAAAATTGGGGTCGGGAAATTTTGGGGTCTCACACTCAGAGGTAGCGATGGCAAACCCCTGTCTATCCACTTTGAGGTCTTCTTAATCCCCACTGCTTACCAAGAGGTGTGACAAATTTCAACCTTGAATTAAGGTCATAGTGAGCAAAGGTTTAGCTGATAGGATCCTAGGGCATTGGCACTAATTTTCCAAAATTCCCTACTTTCAGCAAAGGTTCCAACAGACTTGAAAGTAACAAATATTATCTTTATTCAAGAAAGGAGGTGGGCAGAAAACAGGAAATGATAGGCCAGTTAGCTTGACATCTGTTGTGAGGAAGGCGTTAGACTGATCGTTACGGAGGTTATAACTCGGTACTTCGGTAACCAGGAAGATTCAGCATCATTTTATGTAAGGGAAAGCATGTTCAACCAATTTACTGGAATTCTTTGAAGGACTTACAGGTTCTGTGGATAAAAGGGAGCCTGTAGACACACTGTACTTGGGTTTCCAGAAGACATTTGATAAGGTCACACCAAAGGATACTGCAAAAAGTAAAAGCTCATGTAATCTATTAGCTTGGTTATAAGAGTGGCTGACTGACAGAAAATAGAGAGTATGTAAAAATGGGCTTTTGTCTAATTGACAGGATTTGATGAATGGAATTATGCATAGGTTTCCGCTGGGGACTTCACTCTTTTACAGTTTATATCAAATAATTAGAAGAGGCAAGGGAAGGCACAGTAGCTAAATTTGGAGGTGAAACAAAGAAAGGTAGGAAAGAACGTAGTGAAGAAGATACAAGGAATATAATGAAGAAAACGTGAAATAGTTTTCTTTGGAAGGAAGAATAAAAATCAAAGTATTACTTGAATAGATAACAACTGTGGAATTCAAAGAGGCTAAGGCACGTACATATTCTAATGCACCAGTACAAAAAGTATGTAGGTCAAACACGCAATCAAGGAGGCCTTTGGGATGCTATCCTTCACTTTGAGAGGAATCGAACATAAAGGTAAGAACGCTATGCTTCATTTATACAAGGCACTGACAAGACCACATCGCAAATACTGTGTGCAGTTCTGGTCTCTTTATTTAAGGAAGGATGTGTGCATTGGAAGTGGTTTGGATGACGTTGGAGACCTGGAATGAGCAGTTTGTCTTACAAGAATATGTTGAACAGGATGAGTTCGTTTCCACTGGTGTTTAAAAGAGTGATGAGTGTCTTGATTCAAATGTACAAGATCCCGAATAGTCTTGACGAGAAGGATATGGAAGGGATGTTTTCTCTATTTTAAAATTAGAGAGTGACTTTTTAGGTAAGAGATAAGAATTTTTTTTTTCTCTGAGGATTCTGGGACTTTGGAACTCTCTGCCTCAGCAGTTGGCAGAAATGGGGTCACTGAATATTTTTAAGACACAGGTTTTAGATTCTTGTTGGTGAAGGGAATCAAAAGTTATTGAGGGGAATGGGAATACAAAATTGGAAAACAAAAAGAGATGAACCAAAATCTTATTAAATGGCAGAACATTCTTGAGGAGCTAAATGACCTACTTCTTCTATTTCACATGTAATGGGACCCTGTTACATAGGAATTGGAGTAGGCCATTCAGCCCCTCGAGCCTGTTCCACCATTCAATGAGATCATGGCTGATCTGTGGCCTAATTCCAAATGCCTGCCTTTGGCCCATATCTCTTACACGCCTTTGCTTAACAAAAAAAAATGTATTTATCACAGATTTAAAATTAATAGCCGATCCAGTGTTCACTGCTGTTTGTGGAAGAGAGCTGCATAAATCTACCACCTTGTCTGGCCTAATTTACCCTGTCTTTTTCTGTTAGTATCTTAAAGAATTTGATCAGATCACTATTTAACCTTCTAAATCCTCAAGAAAACAGGCCTAATTTGTATAATCTCTCCTCATGACTTAACTCCTGAAGTCCTGGTATCATTCTTATAAACCTATGTTTAGCTCCCTCCATGGTCAGTATATCCTTCCTAAGGTGTGGTGCCCAAATCCGCTTATAGTACTCCAAGTGGGGTCTAACCAGAGTTTTGTATACCTGCAGCATAATTTCTGCATCTTGTACTCCAGTCCTCTAAATATAAAGGCCAACATTTCATTAGCTTTCTTGATTATTTTCTACAGCTGTTGGTGACATTTTAAAGATCTATGCACCTGAACCTCCAAGACTATTTAGACATCCACCGTATTTAAGTTCATACCATCTGTCTATTCTTTTTGGGTCCAAAGTGGATAATCTCAAACTGCTTACACAGAACGACATCTGCCACAGTTTTGCCTATTCATTTAGACCAACAATATCCCTTTGTAATTTTATGCTATCACCTGCACTGTCTACAATGATGCCTAACTTTGGGTCATCAGCAAATTTGGATACATGACTTTCTGTGCCATTATCCAAGTCATTCATAAATAAGGTGAACAAGTGAGGCCCTAACATAGATTCTTATGGGGCACCACTGGTCACATCCTGCCAATTCGAGTACCTCCCGTTATTCCTACTTTCTGCCCCTGCCAGTCACTCAATTTCCCTACCATGTCAGTAATTTGCATCCAATTCTGTGGGCTTCTACTGTATTTACAGTCTCTTATGTGCAGCTTAACTTTGCCTTCTGGAAGGCCAGATAAACAATATCCATAAACATTCCCTGTCCACTACCTTAGTCAAAAATTCAATGAGGTTTGTCAAGCATGACCTACCTGTCAGGAATCTATACTGGCTCTCCCTGATTAACTGAAAATTTTCAAGGTGTTCAGTTAACCCATCCCTGATTATAGACTCCAACAATTTCCACAACACCAATGTTAGGCTAACTGGTCTGTAATTCCCTGGCTTTTCTCTTTCGCCCTTCTTAAACAGTGGATTGACTTGCAATTTTCCGATCCAGAGGGTCAACTCCTGCATATAAAGGAACTCAAAAGATTGTAGTTAGGCTTTCTACAATGTGCTCCTGTACACCCTTTAACTGCCTAGGACTGCCTAGGTTGGAAACCATCAGATCCCAGGGATTTGTCACTCTCTAATTTCTTCATTACTGATGTTTACTTAACATTAGTTTTATTCACTCCCTGCTCCTGACTGACTATTAATTTTCCGGGGATTTCTGGCAAGCTGTCAGAAGGCACAGTAATTATTCAACATGTCTCCCATTTCCCCACAGTCATTGACAATATCCCCATTCTCAATGTTTAAAGGACCAACATTGCTCCTGACCACCTGCTTTACTTTTGAATTGAATGATTTATTAGGTTGAATGCTTTATTGTCACTTGTATTTAACAAACTCTGCGCCATTTTGAGTTACAGAAGATATTAAGATATCAAGATATCTTCTTAACTAAAAACAGAGTTCTTCCTCCCTTCTTGCACTCGGTTCAACATTGAGAGGGGGCTGGGGTCTCCACAACGGGCTCCGTGACCATGAATTCCCCCGCATTACAATCCATCTATGAGTCCCACGCTGGGGTCTCCATCGCTGTTTCCGCTCCACCACCAGGAATACCATACCAGGCCTACCATATTGCTGTCAATGCAACTGCTGCTCCTGGCAATCTGCTAGGAATGTTGATTTGGGCCTACGGCATTGCCATAGCTGACTGATGCCAACTGCAGATGCTGCTTTCTCTGCCAACCGCAGAGGCCACCCTGCCATCAATGCCATCTTGAAAATCAGTGTTGCTGCCACCACCTGGAGTCCTGTGCTGGGTCCACCAATGTTGAAGTCGCCATGCTCCGGTGCCTTCTCTCGCCATTGGGCCCATATTTGCTGCCGTCGCAAGCTGTTCGAGGGCTTGCTCTCCTCCGTGCTAGGCTTGCTCTCCCTGAGGAGCCGACTCCTGCCACTGCTACTACATATGCTTGGGAAGCCTGGCCCACTGCTGAGGATGCTGAATAGGCCTCCATAGAGGAAAAGAAAAACCATCAAGAAAAAAAAAGAGCAAAAGCAAAAGTAAAAAAGAAAAACAAACGAAACAAAGAAGGTAGATAGAAGTGGACAAGCCCTGGGCCACGAACTCGGATGCAGGGGCGCAATCTTGGACTCAGTATAAAATTTCTTCTGGTGATTTTGATTGCTTGCTGGTACTGGGTTGAACACCCAGTGTGGATATTCTGCACCCAGCACCTGGTAGGGAAGTGGAGAAGGCCAATGGAGGGAACTCGTGCTTTCCTTGGAAAGGTACATAAAGCAGGAGTGGTCTTCTGGGCCCCACAAAGAAAGTATGGAGTTCATCTGCCTGAAGGAGGCCCCAAGGAGGCTTCCCCGTTAAAAAGTATTCTTCTGTGACTTGACACCAGCAGTTAGTCTCCAAACATCATGACTTTGATCATCTGGTTGCCAGTAAATATTTGGCCGACAACACAGGGAATTAAGATCAGCGAAGCATCAAACTAATGAGTCAGATAGGTTCGACCTTCATCTGTCCTCAGTGTCGAAACACACATCTCATGGTGTTTTAAGTGCACTGGGATATCACAACTAAAAATAATAAGAATAAAATTTATTTTGGGTTACCCTATCCTATCTACAAAGCAAGCTGAGAGGAAGAGGAAACCTGGGTTGAAAGGCAATCTGCTTTCAACTTCCAATTTTGTATGAATTCTGCTGAATGCATCACCAGTGTTAATGAAGCCCAAACCCAGAGCTCAATCATAACACACCCTGCTTCCCTGGTTGGGGGTCTAGTCTGTCTATTTCTAGAGGAAGACAGCAGGCCAGGCAGTATCAGCTGTGTTCCTCCAGCTCCACACTGTGTTATTTCCCACTCCAGCATCGGCAGCTCTTACTATCTCTGTCTATTTCTAACTCCTTTTCTGAAGGGAGAAGACAAAAGAGGTTTTATTACTTAGTTCCTCAGCTTGCCACTTTTTAATATTATTTTTACTACTTAGCCATTTTTGAAATGATACATTTATCATTTTCGCATTTAAAATGCAAGTTTAATATTATGGTAAACCTGACCTTTCTGAAATTTCCTCATTAGTCCTTTGAGCAAGAAAACAGCTTGAAATGCCTCACATGTAAAGGTTGGGCAACTGTGCTCTAAGGTGAGGAAAGCACAAATTGCAGTTAGTGCTAATGATAAAAGACCAAAGGAATGTGAATAAAGACAATTACCTTCATAGGAGGAAATGCCAATAACAGGAAATTAAGTGGAGTGCAAGTGAAGCAAAGACCAATTAGGGTGAATTGCCTGCTTTTGATTTGTTTTGTGGCTTCTGTAAGAAGATGCAGGTTTATGGTGTGCTTATGAGCAGCATTAGTCGAGAACCTGAGAACAGGTTTCAGTGACTAATACCTTTGGGATGACTAGGAAAGTGATTTCCCAGATTAAATATTTCAAAATAAAAAGATAAAAGCACAGAAAGTATGTAACACATCTGTTAAATCATTGGAACACTTGTGTTTATTTTGCGCCATTAATGTGGAGAGCTCTCTCAATACACTTTACTGAGCTGAAAGGGAAAATGAATGTTGAACTACAAAAAGTAGAGATTAAGTATTGATGAGTTAATACTTTATAATCAACAGTTGTCACACATCAAGGCAATACGTTGGTAATACAATAAATCCTCAACATAAAATGTTGAAAGGATTTTTTTGGCTGACACCAGAATTTACGAGAAAAATAATTTCCAGAGCAGATCAGCTGAATAACAATAGAATATTCAGAAATTTGGATGGGAAAACATGCAAGGGATCACATTTTGACTTCAAGCTCTTAACAAGGGAAGCATATTTCAAAAAATTCCACAGCATGTACAGCCTTCTGACCATACATTTTACACATACAGAACATCAGGCAAAAGGTACCTCCAAGTTTCCAATATTTGCTCCTGATGAATTAAGCGTGCAATCAAAAGCACAAGGTTGGAATACTTCCCCTGTAACATTAACTTCTACGCTAGTATTTCCCTTCATTCAAAAAAGCACATCGAACATTTACATGCCAGAACAGTTGCTGTTTGGAGGAAGAATTGCAGAGGGTGCTTGATGTCAAATTGTTTGCAACAACACAATTGCTTTGCACAGCAGTGGAAATGAATGGTGGAAACATGGAGGGACAACAGGAAACAGAATACAAATCAGCCTGTGTTATCATGCTGGCAAAGGTTTAACATCTTTTTAAACAGAAAATCAGAAGATTTGCAAGGCTGTGAAAAAGAATAGGAGGTGAAACTAGCTTTTCTAAAGAACTGGCATAGAAACAATCAGTCAAATGGCCTCATTTTGTGCTAATTGATTCTTTACTGAGAGGCAGCGAAATAATTTACTTCCTGATTTGGATAAAGAGCCACATGAAAATAGCCACGTGAAAATAGCATAATGGTCAAACGAATAAGTGAAACAAGAACCTCAAAATGACAATTCAATTATTTTGTAAGCAAGAGGATTTTGGTACTTTCAACTTCAGCAACATCACATTATTAAATTTGTTCACAAGTCAGCCACGCCGCCTCTTTATAATTTTGAGACATTTCACAAACACGCAAAACTCACATCTCATTAAGCTCTGCCACTCTGGCGAGAAACTCCTCATAAGTCAGGAAGCCACTTTCTCTCACCAGGGCAGCATGTTTCATCATCCGATCCGGCAATTTGTTAAAGACTGCTGGAGTTTGGTTTGAAATATGTTGACCCATTACTGGGCAGACAATGGGTGGCTTCCCCACAAGCTCTAGATTTGGGTCATTTGTAAAGCTCCTGTTTGATTTAAAGAAAGGAACATGTGAAAAGATTTTGTCAAAATCTTCAGTGAACTGTTTGTAAGGACAAATTAAATCATTTCAAAATAGTACAAGCAATATTCATAACGTAATGCAATTCTGGTTTTCTCCACATCTACTATGAAACAAAATTATAGAGGGCACGAATACAAATTGATTTGCAGAAGTAGTAAATATGACGCAAAGAAAAATGCTTTTTAAGCAGAGCATGGTTTGGCTCTGGATTGCACTGCTTGGAAATGTGGAGGAGGCAGGTTAAATCATGGCATTCAAAACGATATTACATGATTATTTCAATAGAAAGAATAATCAGGGTTATGAGAAAAAAAAGGCACCATTATACTGCTCATCCGGAGTGCTAGTGAAAAATGATGGGCCAAATGGCCTTCCTCAGCACGTAACAATTTTGTGATAACACCAAATCATTCTGGATGTCCTAAAATACTGAAAAATTGGTAACTGTTGCATAAGCAGTCCTGACTGTCCAAATCTGTGCACAGCAAGGTTCCATGCTTGGCAAATCAGATGAATGACCAAATAATCTCATTTTGCAGAAGTTCATTGAATGTTTGGGGCATTTTGTACATTTCTTATATAAAAGTATGCAAATCACACATTCTCCCCATTAACTTTACAGTAACAAAATCAGGAACTGAGTCTAAGGTTTCAAGGATGATTTTTTTTCTCATGGGATTTTGCACTAAGTGACACAGTTTCTAAATAAGGAATCACACTCTAAAGCCTGAGATAAGGATGCAATTCTTCCTTCAGAGGGTCTCTCATTTTTGGAGTTCTCCAAGCTGACAGCAGCAGAAGTTGGGTTATTGAATACATTCAAGGCTGAGCTAGACAGATTTTTGGTCAACAAGGAAAGCAAGATTACAAGAAAATAGAGATAGTAGGAACTGCAGATGCTGAAAAATCTGAGATAACAAGGTGTAGAGCTGGATGAACACAGCAGGCCAAGCAGCATCATAGGAGCAGGAAGGCTGACGTTTCGGGCCTAGACCCTTCATCAGAA